TAGTGCAAACATTACTACGTCCGCTTTTTTAGATCTTGCGTCCGACCATCATCAGCCTAGTTCCACGACTGCTAAACAAGTTTCATGACCACATCCATGCCCAAATTACAAAGAAAAATGTTTTGGTGCGAAAATTGTTTGAATACGGAAAAGAGGTGAGACCTGATTTCAGCTGGATGTGATCTGGTATAAAAATCTTTTTTCAAGGCAAAATTGAAGATGTTGCACAAAGGAATTCAGAAATACGACACAATTTGGGACAAACTTGTATTCAACAAGGTGACAGTGCAGCTTCGAAGAATTTTTTTTGCAAAAAAAATATTTGTCGTAGATGCGTCAAGTTCTTGGTGGTCGCGTTCGCATGTTGACAACTGGAGGTGCCCCGGTAATTCCAGCAGTGATGGATTTTACCCGAATAGCATATGGCTGCCCACTTGTTGAAGGGTAAGTGGATATCTTCTAGTCGTATTTGAGATAATATGTATGCATATTACACACTCGTGCTACGTTATGCTAGAAAATGTTTGACTGGGGAATAAGGATTACTAGCAAGTCAGTTGCCACGTATAGTATGCGAACATAGCAAGTAAATGACTCTACGATTACTGCCGTTCACACAATTGCTACAGTACATGCATTTTGGTTTTTGTATGATGTCGTAACATAGCTTCTGTTTCATTGGGAGTGGCGGGTGGAGGGCGCAGCTTCGATCGTTATTTGAGCCTGACAAATGATTGGAGGGCACGCACAAGGGAGATGCAGAGTCAAAGCCCCACTCACCATCCGCCACTTCCAGTGATATAGAGGGTCAGTTTTTCACACTTAGCAAAAGAATCTCCAAGTTTCTCGAAAAAATTTTCTCCCCTTTTAGTGGGTATGCACATTTATGAGATTTTGATACACATGGAATATCCGGTTTTCGATTTTCGTATGACTAAATTTCTGGCAAATTTGCAACGTTATTCAAAAGCTTAAACTTCTGCTTACGTATTGCTACTGATGCCCCAGAAGTCAATAAATTTAAAAAGAAGGTATCTAGTTGCATTACCGGTATAGTTCAGCCCCAAACCGGATGGTGTAAAAACGTGTTTAAAAAAGCATCTATAATCAACAAAATCAACTTGTGATTATTGTTATTTTCTGTCAAAAGGTCTTTGCCATCAAAAGCTGGAAATCTTCTGTTATGAAAAGAATAAAGAAAGAATATTGAATAAAGAAAAGGTGAAGTTGAGAAGACCATGAGATTTGCTATGATATTCACTCATGTCCGTAGGTACATAAGGATGAAAAGATGTGAATGGATAGCCCTTCATCCCAGTAGCGGACCGACAGGGGGAGGCAGCCCCCTCCCAGGAAAGGGCAAACTTTTTGAAAGTCACTTACGTGGGTTACGAAATGTTCAAGTGAATTGTTTGTACTTGTAAAAAATTAAGATAATTTTCAAATGTATCTAAGAATTCATATTAGCCTTGTAGAAATAGTTTTCGGGAGTTTGGCTCCGCCACCTCTTTTTTAGCTTCGGGTTAGGAGTCGCAAAGTTACGGAATCGTCCCAAAAAGTTTTGCAGATTGTGTGGCTAACCATCACCTTTGTCCGAAAATTTTTTTGTCACCCCTCCTCTTCCCTTCCCATCCCCTCCCTTGAACGGAAATCCAATCCTCACTGCTTCATCCCTACAGGCCAAAAAAAAAAGACTTTCGAGTTTTCTAGAATTAGAGAAAGACGAAGAAAATCTTACTACTATCCATAATTCAGATATGGGCAAACCGAATGCGCTGCAGCTGGGACGCTCAGTATGCCATGTGACACCTCAAATGGCCACGTCGGAGGACCTTCGCCATGGGCCCAAGT